ATTAATGGATGTTGATTATAACAACAAGGTGTGGCGGACAAGTACGCGGGCAGTTGGCCCAAGAACAGGTGGGCAGGCCGCAGGGAAAACAGCCCTGAGCAGGCCCCCTGTTACAGGCTATCACCAAGGAAGATTACACTTCCTAACCACCTCCCTGCAATCACGAGCAATGGAAGGCCAAGGCAGAGACGGAACTAGGGCTGGCGACCAGAATTAAGGCTAACAAGGAATGTTTTTCCAAATACACAGGGAGTAAGAAGAAGGCAACAGGTAACGTGGGGCCCCTACAGGACAGGCTTGGCAATCTGGTGATTGCAGCAAAGGAAAAAGCTGTTCTTTGCCTCTATTTCTGAGCAGGAACCGGTACAACTCACCCACTAGGATTATGGACAGGTTCAGGGGACACGATGCCATGCCTAGGGTCAGGGACAATCTATTTGGGGAACTTCTGGAGGGGCTGGATGGGTTTAAATCACAGCAGGTCAGGATGCTCTTCATCCGAGGGTACTGAGGGAACTGGCTGAGGTCACAGCAGGGCCCCTGGCACGGCTGTATGAGCACTCGCGGTGGTCTGGCCAGGTCCCAGAGGACTGGAAAAGGGCCAATGTGGTCCCCATTTACAAGAAGGTGAGAAAGGAGGACCCAGGTAACTATAGGCCAGTTAGTCTCACCTCGGTCCTTGGGAAGACCTTTAAGAAAATTATCAAGGAGCACATCTGCGGGGGCCCAGCATGGGAGGCAATGTTCAGTGGCAACCAACACTGGTTCATTGTGGGCAGATCCTGCCTGACAAACCTGGTTTCCTTTTACGACCAGGTCACAAAGTCCTTGGATGTGGGCATTGAGGTGGATGTTGATTACCTGGACTTCAAGAAGGCCTTTGACACTGTTTCTCACCACATTCTCACAAAAAGCTAGGCAACTGTGGCACTGATGGCTACACACAGTCAGATGAGTGGCAAATTGGCTTGACAGTCGCACCCAGAGAGGGGAGGTGGACGGGTTGTTTTCAGCCTGGAGGGATGTGGGCAGTGGAGTTCCCCAGGGCTTGGTCCTAGGGCCTGTGCTATTCAACATCTTTATCAGCAACTTGGAGGTGGGTCTGGAAAACACGCTGTCCAAATTCGCTGATGACACAAAAATGTGGGGAGAAGTGGGCACACTGGAGGGGAGGGACAGAATATAACTAGATCTAGAGAGGTTACAGGTGGATGGATGAGAATAAAATGGAATTCAATGCAAACAAGTGCAAGGTGATGCATCTAGGGAGAAGAAACCTGCAGCATACTTATAGGCTGGGAAACGCCCTTCTCAACAACACAGTGGCACAGTGTCACTGTTGACTCCAGGATGGACGTGAGCTGCCAATGGAACAAAGCAGTCAGTAAGGCTAACTGCATCTTGTCGTGCATCTACAGATGCATCACAAGCAGGTTCAGAGACGTGATCCTTCCCCTCTATATGGTGCTGGTCATGCTGCAGTTGGAGTACTGCATCCAGTTCTGGGCACCGCACTTCAAGAGGGATGTGGCTAACCTTGAGAGGGTCCAGAGAAGAGCCACTCACATGGTCAGTGGGCAGCAAGCCAGGCCCTATGAAGATAAACTAAAGGGCCTGAATCTATTCAGCCTCCACAAGAGAAGACAGAGGGATTCTGTTGGCTGTCTATAAACTCACTAGGGGGGACCAGCAGAAAATAGGTGAGGCTCTGTTCCCCTGGGCACCACCTGGGATAACAAGGAATAATGGCCACAAATTGATTGCGAATAGGTTCACGCTTGATATCAGGAGGCAATACTTTACAGTTAGCGCTGCCAGGCTCTGGAATGGGCTCCCAAGGGAGGTGGTGCTCTCCCCCCTACCTTGGGGGTCTTCAAGTGGAGGTTGGGTAGATATCTGGCTGGGGCATTATGATCCCAGCACTTGTTCCTGCCCAGGGCAGGAGGTTGGACTTGATGATCTGTTCAGGTCCCTTCCAACCCTAGAAACTATGAAACTATGAGGATCTGAAGTAGTGATTTGGGGGATGTCCTTAGATTTCCAACAGATCAACTATAGAAATGCCACATCTTCATATGCAGAAAAGAGAAAGGAGAAAGTAAAGTAAATATTACTAATAACCTTAATACTGTGTTTGCCATTTTTTCAAGATCCTATCAAAGGAAGCATACAATAGAATTTTACTCCAAAATACAGTCTCTTTAAAAGAAATATCTATGTCAACTAACACATTAATGTAGTTGTAATTATCTCATTCTTCCAAGAAAAGTATTGTTCCTGCATAATGAACATGTTACTGTTAGGACAAACTAATGTGAAAATATTGTAGTGCAAAAAAGTAATAAATGTAGTCATAAACTGGATTTAGGATTTGTTATTCAACAATCTCTAGGTTTGTTTTTCCATGTTGTTTGTGGGGTGATATTTCTTTTAAGTGTTTATATAGGGCCTGATTCAATGCTTATTAAGTCAATGGCAGCCTGTTATTCAGCTCAGTGGGTAGTGAATTAGATCTACGGGCACATCCAAATGAGCATGCACGTGCAGTTTGCAGCATCACGAACCTGCCTGTGGTGCTGCAAACCACACATGCACACATTTGCTGCATGCTAATTTGCAGCATGGTAGGTTTTTTTGACACCAAGAGATCCCACCATCAAAAAAAACAGCAGAAAAAACTAGGGCAGCACAAGTAGTGCACCATCCAAAACCAGAGCCTGACCAGCCAGAGCCATGCTCCAAGTGCTAGCCAAGCTCCACCTGCCCATATCACTGCTGCTAGAGCCTCAGGAGGCCCCCAGGACGCCAGCTAAGGTTGCTGAAGCCAGCCCAGGTGCTGCCCCCAGCCTCCCCTACCCCATCCAGGGCAACTTGCTACACACCAGAGCACACATGCAGGCATGTTTCCCAGGGACAATTTGTCCCTGAGGAAACACATGTGCGCGCTTGTCTGGATGCACCCTATATGGCTTTAAGTACTCTGTATGCTTCCCCCATGTTATTAAGTCATTGTTTCTCAGGTATGTCTACAAGGTAAATTTACCATCCCCACATGTGGCATGCTCAAGCGCCCTGCACTGCCATGCACTAATCATGGAAAGCTGTCTCCTGAAAAAGAAGCAGAGTAGCCCTGTATGTGCAGCCACAGGGACAGCCACTGAGCTGAATAAGAGGCTGCCACAGGGACAGCCTAACTGGTACTGCTATTCAGTAGCACTTAAAGCTCCACCACTCTGAGTTAGAAGGTAGCTCACCCTAAGCAGCAGTGTGCTTCAGTGCGCTGCTGCTGTGGACAGTAAGTTTGCTGGATAGACCTAGCTGCATTTTTGAGTAGCCACACGCCCTGCTTTCCCATCCTGCTCCCAAGCAGAGTTGACCAATATGAAACCAAACTGTGCTCGTATTGTTATGACCAAGTTTCCATTTGGGATTAAATGGTGACTCAATGTGTTATAGGAGGCAAACAGAAGGAGGGGAAGCAGAAAAAAAAAGCACTAATGGCTACATTCAGCATATAGGTTTCTGTGGTAAATTGATTTGGTTTCCATGACTACAAAAAAGAGAATCCAATCTTGCTTACTTTAGAACCAAGGTCAAACTTGAATTTGCTGCCATCTTCCTCCTCCACTTCAGTGGTTTCCATTCCTTTGGTCTTCATGGCATTGTACAGCACAGAGGTAATCTTCACCAGCTCCTTCACTGCATAGCCATCTGCTTGGTAGAGCTTCTTTGTGTTGAGCTTTATGTGAGCTTTGGTAGCCTGTTAAATGACACAAAGATGCATTTCAGAAGGTAATGGAGAACAGGTCCCAATCCTTTCGTCAGAGCTCTCCTAAAAGCACTTTTTGGGCGGAGCCAGACTCTTCTATCCTTAAAAGACATTTTCAATTTAGGAACGTGCACACTTTCAATTGTGTTGTTTCTAAAAAAACAGTATTCCCCGATACATAGTCACCTTTACAAGTCAGAAAATTTCTGAGAAAGCTGCAGCCATTAATTCCCACAGAGTGAGATTCAGCACTGTGCATAAAGTCAGCAACAAAGGCTATGGAACATTTAATTAAAAGGTACTTAAAAACATACATACCACACTTAAACAGATCACCAGTCATGTGTTAACCCATTGCATAAGTATCAACTTCCCCCTAAGGTACGGGCTATCAGCCTACAACCAATGTAATCAGACCAAGAAGATGTCCAATCCAGCCTGCAGAGATCTGATCCAAAACGGAGAATTCATGTCATAGACCTGTACTCTGCTGCCCATTCCCTCTGCAGCATCAGAGCTTACCCCTGCTGCAGAGGGGTCAGGAATCTGGCAGCTGGCCACTAAGATCAGGGGTGACCCCTACCTTAAGAGAATGAAATAATAAGATCAATCACCCTAATAAAGGGTCCCCTCTTCTTCTTCAGCTTGATGTATTATTACTTCTCTTCAATTTGTATATTATTTTTACTATAAATTATTATATTAATAAATTTGTATCCCCTTCTCCTGTGTCCTCTAAATGCTCATATATTCATACAGACAGGTATGGAAATAAACTACAAGATTCAATTAATGAAATTATCCATCATTATTTCAAAATAACAAAAACCAAAAGGGTAGTACATTAAGAGGCAGCATTCCAGAGTGAGAGAGAAGATTAACTTAATTCGTAGAATTCCCTATGTGCTGCTGTTACAGACACCCAGACATGAGGACTTAGTACAAAACAGTAATTAAAATTGCCAGTCTCTCTCTGATGAAGTGGGAGCAGCACAAGAAGCCATTATTTGTTCAAACTCTGTTCCTCCCTAACAATAAAATAAACCAACTGTAAATAGCCAGGTGGCTTATCTTTTTATTATTATCATTTTAGTTAAAATGCTAGAAAATATTTGCCTCCAAGAAAACATTTCCCATCACATAGGAAACTATGTGATAGAGTCTTCTGCTTTTATATTAAACTCTAATCTTGATGCACCACAGGGTTGCAAACCCAAAATAATTCTTTTACTGATAATGTGAACTGGTTCCTGACAACCAAACTTTTTACTAACATTTTTTACATATGTGACAGGGTTGATAAGACTTGCACAGAGTTTAGATTATGGTTTGTATGGGATGGTTTGGATAAGCATGATCCTGCATCAGACAGAGGGTTGGACTAGATGACCTCTGAAGGTTCCTTCTAGCCCTACTTGTCTATGACTATGATAATATAATTGTAACCCTTCTGACAAGCTAAGGACAAGGATAGGGTTCAAATTTAGGGATTTAACACCAACCACACTAAAAAATATTGGCTGTCAGGAAAACATTTAGACTATCAGTAAAAAAGGAGTCTTAGATTGGCAACTATGCTCGACTGCAACAATAGTTTTACATCCTGCCATGCCCCTTCTAAGGGATCCCCTATTCCTCCCCACATCATGACACCCCTGACTGTACCTTACACCATGCTGCCCCAGCCTTACACCCACAGGCCCTCCTCCCCATTCCTACAGACCCCTAAAGAAAGATGCTGCCTACCTACAAGGTGAACAGTGTACTAGGCATATGAGACTCAGCATCAGTACATAATTAGGAGCAGGAGGGAGCTGCAGAGCTCCTATGAGCAACAAAGCTGTGATTCTCTTCAGGGTGCTGCACTCCCACTCAGACACCAGGGGCACGTCCACACATGCAAGTATGTGCGCTTGCAGCAGCTCAAATAGAAGTGGTGCAAATTTGAGCCAGGGCTTTTTGCCTCAGCGCATGTGCTTAGACACATGCTTTTTTGTGGAGCACATTGTGCCACTTGGGGCAAAATAACCCTGCTTGGCTCCTCCCAGATGTGCAGCCGGGGGGA